CTTGAACACCTGCCGTAAGAACATCCAGAACCCAAAACAGACCACTGTGACCCCTCCAACACCGACTGCTTATGTACAGACAAACCTTGACATTTGTATTCATCACCTGTTTCTCACACAATCTGTCCTTGTCCAGTGCACCTGAATTAAAATGGTCAAATAATGCAGCTTGTTGAGAAGAGGTGTGCTATTATTTTGGTTGAACTTATGGTTTTTGCCTTGTGAACGATTAAAAGGAGGGAACCAAGCCATATCTAGAGGCAAAGTCAGCAAAGGGAGCAAATATATGTTCTTTTTATAATGAGAGTACAGCGTGCTAATAAGGTTTGATAATAACAAAAACATCAAATACATCACTGCTGCTTTTTTTTTCAGAGACCGATGCAGTAGAAACCTAAACACAACAATTTTGTTTTGTTGAATGCCGCTTTCAGATTTAAGTCAAATGAATTTTGTGCATCCCACGTTATTTTCTGTCTATAAAATGATCATATATATTTATCAATTGTATATAAAAATGTAATTCACAACAAATGTCGTGTCTGTGATTTTATTCATCAAAGGCTTGTGATATTTAACAGAGCTGACAACATTTGATGGGCTTTATACATTCAGATTGACAAGAGACTATATTTCCCTAAATAGTTTAAAACAAAACTGTGTTATATATATTATTAAATACCATACATACAATTATTTCATTTACAAGAGGCACGATTGTTATTTGTATTCATTATATAGCTTTACATGTATAAACATGTATAGAAAGATACAGATAATGATGTAAAGAACAGTAACATTCCATCAAGAGAAAATGTATTTGAAGCTGGTGAATTACGCTGCTATTCAGTTAGTCTGTTTAACCTGTCTCTACAGAGTAAACACCCTAACAACCATCCAGAGCACCCTACCTCATAGCAACACACTAGCACCCGGAACATAGCATCTGCAAAGCAATAGCTGATTAATAAGTCAAATACTTAGGTATTTGGAACAGCTAGGGTACCTAATATACCTAAATAAATAAACCTGAATGAATAAATACTGCTATATAATCTGGAATTGTGAAAGCTTAAATAATGTTAAGTCCTCCACCATGATTAAAAGACATGTTCCTGCTGCAGTAGAACATCTGTCCATTTCTTCTCACCTGCAAGTGGGTACAACGAATATCACATGATGCCCTGGGTTTCTCTGTTAAAATCTGCATGACCCTGTGACCCCTCCGCCAAACTTCAGCTCTATTCTATTAGAGGATATAAGTGCATGCGTGTACACTAATGACATTATGGAACCATTAGGCTTTAAATGAAGAAAACATGGTGTAGATTCATTCAGCCATCCAGTAATGAAATTTACAGGAGGCCTGTAAGGCAGAACGGCAGGTCTATTGTCTGCTGAGGGTGTTGGGTAACATGCAGCACCTGCTGCTCCTAATGACTGCAACCTGGATTGACATTAAAGTCATATAGAGTACATGACGTCATTTATTCAGTCTGGGAAAATTACTAGGTACAAAGGCAACGTGAAAAAACATGCAGATTTGTATTATTAGGGCAGTGAATGCATATATTTTATCCTTGTTGAACACTTTTCCATGTATGTTCATTTGTACTTGTATGTAGCCTTCCTGTAATATCCTACAGAGCGGTTCTTTAGACAGTTACTACAGTACTCTCAGATGAACGGTACACTGTATGGCCAAATATATGTGAACACCCCCTTCCACTTAACAGGTTTAGATATTCCAGTGAAAACATAATATGGTGAACACAGAAATAATGTGAAAAATTAGTGCCACATGATCCTTCAAAAATCATTCTAATAGACCTTAGTCAGGTTAGACGCCATATTGAATTTTACATGTATAAAAGTGAGGCTGTGAAGGATAGACTTTTACAGTGGCATGCAATGTTTAAAGGTCCTAGATCACATCAATATGGAGTTTTTGTCTACTGATAGTCTTTTGGAAACATATTTTGTCAGCTAAACTATCCGTATGTTGTTAAATGACCGTACAATCCATTGAACATGTTGTACTTTTATCTGTTACAGCCTCGTCGTCATTCCTGTTAAAAATTAAAAATAGGCGCTACTTTGACTAATGTCTATATGCTGGTATGATTTGATGCTCAAGAAACAGTTCTTATTATTAGCAATGCTGAAAATAGTTGTGCTGCTTAGCTATATTTATGGAAACCATAATTCATTTTCTTCAGGATTCTTTGATGGAATTCTTAGGAAATGTAATAGAATATATTTATTGAAACAGAAATCTTTTGTTACGTACAAGTCTTTATTGTCAATTTTGATCAATCTAATTACTGATCCCAAACTTTTTCTTGAGGAATCAGTATCACTTTTTATTGCTTGTTTAATGCATGCTCTGACGGTTGAGGTACAGGAACTTTCCTTATGTATTATTACCAACTACAATCTACACGTCACTTGTGGTATATCACTTCTTGCTAAACAGGTGGACTTAAAACTTTGACCGGAAGGTTTAACACTTTTAAATGTACTTGTACTGGAATCATAAAGATTGCATAAAACAGGACAGTGGATTAAGCCTATTGCCACAATTGTGAGAAGTGACTAATGCACAGTGTTGGGGGTTACAAGTAATGCGAGTTACGTAATCAGATTACTTTTTTCAAGTAACTAGTAAAGTAACGCATTACTTTTTAATTTACAAGAGAATATCTGAGTTACTTTTTCAAATAAGTAACGCAAGTTACTTTTTTTTCCAATTTATTGATTGACAGCTCTCCTGTCCCCATG